CTCGTGGCTCTTGCTCCTTGCCACACCAATCGCTGCCTAGACTATTTGTTTGCCTAGTCCGATGTCTCACGGCGCCATGCGCGCTGCCGCCATGTCGTTGACGCCTAGCGCGGCGCCAGCGCGCATGACGTTGTGCGCATTGGCTCGTCCTTAGCGCTGGCTAGGACCGTGCCCGCCGGCGCCGTGCTCACTGGCTCCGTGCCCGCTGGCGCTGCGCACGCCGACGCCATGCCCGCTGCATCGTAAAAATGTGGAATGGCCGAAACCAGTCGGGACGGGGTCAAGGCACTTGGGGCGGGGTAGAAGTGGGAATGAATATCGATGCATGAGGAGGGAATGAATCAGTCCATTTGCGGCGGAATGTCGCCGTGCATGCTGAGTTGCGGGCCTTGAAGGTCTGGGTTGGTGTGCAGCTACAGCGGCTACTGTTCCTTCTGTCGTGAAGTTCAGGACTTCAGCACGCACGGCCGCTGTTCCGTCATGAACGTTCGGGGCTTTGCTCCAGCGCGCTGTGCTATGGGTGGGTTTGTTAAATGATGTTGTTTTGTTACTTGTAGCTGTTACATGTCTGTGCAACATTGTCCTTATGATCTCAACTTTGCAAGCGCTTCCAGTATTGCACTATACATTTCTCCGGATCCATCAGCTGATTTTGTTTGTGATGCACATGAAAGACGTGTTTTTTGTCGATTAGTTGTTAGATACTTATATCTGGACTTTAATACTGTTTGAATTTACCATCACACTCCATTTTGTTGTTTTTCTTGTGGTTTCCTTCAACTTGGTCTATTAACTAGAGTTAGTTCCATTGTACACTAGTATTCCTTAAGGAGAGAGGGTTCGTTAACGTGAGTCACGAATGCCTTGACTTGTTTGCCCATTTATTACAGTATCCATTGTGCAGGGTTTAGCTTGCCTGTGCAAAAGATTTGTGAGCCGCATGTCTGCACTGCTTTTCACCACGCTGCACGGCATGTGCGCTTCGGTAATTTCCCGAGTGCCGAATCCCTCGCCTTTGCGAGTCAATTTTTGCTACTGACGAAGTTCGCCCACCCAACGTGCCTTCCCATCGCCAAGGCCTCGCAATTTTCGCCACCTCTTCTAGCTCATATCCTCTCACGCACCTTCGCTGGTTTCTGTTTCGCATTCAGCTCCACAGCACCAATTCCCGTGCCTGCTCATTGTACTTCGATTCTAACTCGGATTCAGCTGTAAGGCCTGCTCTCTTGCGGGTTTCGTTTCTGCTCTCTCTGCCAGTACTGCCCTAATAGTCGGCCGTGGTCCACCCCTCGCTGGCTTAGACTGCGTGCAGAATTCTGCCGCGTATCACCGTGGTGCTCCTCTCGACGACTCTTAAGGTGAGCCTCCTACTCTAAGGTAGCTTGCTCTATTGTTGCAGCATGGTGGTTTTGTCCAAAGAGGAGCATGATGATGAGGCACAAGCGGATGATGAGAACAGCTGCTCCAGCAGCGGGTTTAGTTCTAGTGATGATGAGGATGGTGGAAACTTCTGAGTCAAGCCACATGTACGCTGCTGTGCTGTGAATATTGATTGTCTTTGGTGTTATGCTGCTATTAGTATACTTAAAGCAACATTTTGGGCTGTTTTGAAGATTACCCTGAGGCTGCAGTTAAGTGCTGGATGCCAACCCTGACAAAACAGTATGAACATTGACGTCCAACCCTGACCACTACACGTGTTATTAAGGCCTAGTCCTAAGTAGACAGGATGCCAAAAATCCTAGCTGAGGCCCTGGTGTACACGTATGGCATGCATACATGTATGGCATTGTTTGTTTTGTATGTGCATGTACCACGTATTGTGTTGTCTTATGCACGTATGCTTGTCGGTCTTGCCATGTCATGTGTTGTGTCTGCATGCAAGATTCGACCCCATTTGTATTCGTGGGTTGTGTTTGCTTCGGAGTGTGGTGCTTACATGCCATGTGCTTGCAGTGGAGATTGTCATCGTCGCTGAGCAGCGTAGCTGTCGAAGCGTACCCCATCAATCTCTGTTGCATCACAAAGGCAATTATGTGTCAAACATATATGCATACGTTATTATAGGCTAGTTAGGTGTATGCCTTTAGAGAGTACAATACACTAGGTAAAAAATACTCAGTACCCTTGTTTCTAATTTATTCCGCTACTCTAAGATGGTACCGTAATCCCCCTTATATAAGACCCGCCGAAATAGTCAGCCCATGGGTGGCATATGCGGGGGATACCTTACGATATGGCGCGTTTTTTAGAGTACCCGCTTTTCTGCGTTTGCATTTCACATAACACCCAGCTCGTTTTTTTGCCTTCAAACAGTATTTCGTCCTCCATAACCAAGGTCCGCCCAGCTGCAAAAAGTGAGCAGGATGAAAATCGCGTCAGCTGCCATTTGCAGCGCAAATATGAGCAGACGAATCAATACAAGTGGCAAAACGAAATCGGAAGACAGCAAGTGTCGAGAGGATCTTGACCGTCCATCTTGCAGTTGAACCACCTCGATCACGCCAGCAGCAATGGTCGAGAGAGAATATCTCGACTGCTTTCCGAAGCACGGAACTGGCTCTATTCACAGTACTCATACGAGATTGGTCAAGGACACCTGGCACTGCTGCTGGATCAATCTCCCACGATTTTCAGAGGCACTGAACTGACCCTGTCAGAGTGTGCGATCTCTGTAGCAGATTCCTTATTAGCAGTTGCTTGGTGAAGTTCTGGCCTCAAAATGCTTGTTACAACCCAAATTCATTTTACATTTTACATAAGACATGGGCTTTATATTTTTCCACCCTACTGTTAACACCCATACGTTTTTTTAAATGAAATTTTGACAATACCCTAGGGTGCTATATACGGGGGAATACGGTATCAAATTAGGTTAGGTCCGCCCACCCGCTTCCGCCCTAGCCCTAACCCTAGCGCCCCGCTGTGCCCTTCTAGCGCCCCGCTGGCCTTAGCGCGCCCCGCTGGCCTTAGCATGTTTTGCTGGCCCTTATGTGCCGTGCTAGCCAGGGCTGTTGTTATCAGGGTATTTGACCCTGATTCCCTGATTTCGCAGGGTATTTTTTCGGCCAACCCTTAATCTTCGCGGTTTGGCGCTTTTGAACACTAGTCCCTTCAGGGTTGTAAGTTTTTGAACACTTAGGATTTCAGGGTTTGCGTTATGCGAATACTGAGTTTTCAGGGAGCAATGCGTACGGACCCTGAATGCGACAACCCTGCCATCCTTGACCTTAAGCAAAATTCCCCCTATACGTGACTGGTCCCCCCACACACCCAACAACTCAATAAATTTGACATCCCCCCCACACACCAAGCAACCTAAAAAATCGGCCAAGTCCTCTACGACAGCCACTCCCCCCGCACACCCAACAACCCACAAAACCCGGCTAAGTCCTAATAGCCAGAGACAAAGACAAACGAAAAATGGGTTAAGTATATTGTACAGACATTCCCACTCCCAGTCCTCAACGTCACCCCTTATACCCCCAACAAACCCATGCCTATTTTCTAAGAGCAGTCACTCCTTTTAGGGGGATTTTTGCCAGTTGACCGTGTGGTTATCTTAAAGTCAATCAAAATGGGACGGCCACGATCGATTGTGATCGTTTCGACAATTATTGGCCGTTCGATGGTTGCCAGTCATAAACGTCCCAGATTTCCTTAGCCATTTGAATCACGCCCATGACGGTGGAAGGGAGCGGGGTCCCTCCCACAAAGGGCGCTGCAAGCACGCGAAGTTTCTCCCACCACCCCATTTGTCAGCTTCCCCCCTTCCCCTCCGTTTCGATCCCCCCCTCCTCTCCGTTTTGCTTCCCCCCTCCCCTCCGTTTCGATCCCCCCTTCCCCTCCGTTTCGATCCCCCCTTCCCCTCCGTTTCGATCCCCCCTTCCCCTCCGTTTCGCTTTCCCCCTCCCCTCGGTTTTGATTCCCTCCCCTTTTCCCACTTGAATTCGATTCCCCCCTCCCCTCCTTTTTTATTTCCTCTCCCTCAATTGAGCTGTGGGCGGCCATCTGATTTTTGAGCTACAGTATTTTCACTTCGCCTAGGAAATCTGAAAAAAAAAAAAAAAAAAAAAAAAAAAAAAACCCGCCCGCCAGAAGTAGCAAAGGAGAAATATCGTGACTGCTAGAGATGATGCTATCAAAAACTGAGAACTTGATTGATTGAAATGAGCAAGAGCATACATCCTTAAGTACCGAGCATCGGAGAGGATGGGAAGGGATAAGGGAGAATCGGAGGGAATCCCAAGGGAATCCTCCCAAATCGTGGGGATTTGGGATGGATTGGGTTGGGATAGGTTGGGGATGAAAACATAGCTACACCCAACCTAACAAATATGAGTATCCCTAAAACCAACAAAGTGTCAACACACAAAATTGTGCCAACCGAATTGCAGCCTATCTCTAACACACCCCCTAGGCTGCAACGTCGGAAGCCGTAGGGACGCCAAGTCCCATGGTACGGAGGAGACGATAGTGATCACGGCGTCCAAGAGCCTTCGTAAACAAGTCGGCGAGGTTGCAGTCAGAGGAAATATGCTTGACGCACAACTGCCCTCGCTGGACGAGCTCGCGCATGAAGAAGTGTCTCAATTCGATGTGCTTGGTTCGTTGGTGGAAGACAGGATCTTTGGTGAGGTGGATAGTGCTCTCGTTATCACACCACAGAGGCGGGGTCTGCTGAGGATACCCGAGCTCAGCCATGAGGTAGGTAAGCCATCGAGCTTCTTGGGCTGCCATGGTGCCTGCGTATAACTCAGCTTCGCAAGATGACAATGAGACGGATGATGAGCGTGTAGATCGCCAGCTGATGACACCACTGCCAAGGGTGAAGCAATAGCCTTGGGAAGAGCGGTGGTCAGCTTGATCATCAGCCCATGAGGAGTCGCTGTATCCCTTGAGGTGAGGAGGGGTCGTGCCACCGAGAGTGAGGACGTAGTCCTTGGTGGCTTGGAGGTAGCGAAGGACGCGCTTAGCAGCCGACCAGTGGCGATTGGTGTATCGACCGGCAGCAACGTAACGCGAGAGCACACTGATGGGGTAGGCGAGGTCGGGCCTTGTGCACATCATCGCATACATGAGTGATCCGACGAGCTCGGGGTATGCCTCATCACAAGGCTCAGGCGATGGAACTGATGGAGTGGTCAGATCATGCTGCAAGGGAAGGGGAGTGGCCACTGGCTTGGCGTTGTCCATGGCAAAACGCTTGAGGACGTTGTTCACATAGAACTCTTGAGAGAGAGTGATGGTTCGAGCTTCGCGATCCCGCGAGATTTCCATCCCAAGGTAGTTCTTGAGTTCACCGAGGTCCTTCATGGCGAGAGCGTCCCCAAGAGCTTGCTTAACAGCTGCCAGCTGATCGGAGTCCTTGGAGACGAGAATCATGTCGTCAACGTAGACAAGGATGAAGAACGGGTTGTCGTTCTTGCGAATGAAGAGACTCGGATCGGCTGAGGAGGGGTGGAAGTCGAGTGACTCGAGGGTTGCCTTCAGCTTCTTGTGCCATTCCCGAGGAGCCTGCTTCAACCCGTAGACTGGTCGATTCAGCTTCCAGACCGTGCCGGGTGGAAAGGGTAAGGGAAATCCTTGAGGACGTTCCATGTAGATGTCCTCGGGGAGATCCCCTTGGAGAAATGCAGCAGAGACGTCCATGGAGTGAACGTCAAAGTTGCATCGAGCAGCGATGTCCAGCAGAGTCCGAAGTGTGGGCAGTTTGGCTGTCGGAGAGAATGTGTCGAAGAAGTCCAGGCCCTTCTTCTGCGTGAAGCCTTTTGCACAGTATCGCGCCTTGAAGACTGGGAGTTCGCCAGGCAGCTGCTTGACGCGAAAAACCCATTTGCCACGGACAATGTTAACTCCTCGCGGAGGAGAGACGTCCGTGAAAGAGTTGTTGCGAATGAATGCTTCACACTCCGCGATCATGGCTGCGAGCCACTGGGGGGAGTGTGGTCCAGAGATGGCTTCATCATATGAGTTCGGGGTCGGGATGGATGGATTTTCCGAGAAGTTAAGAGTTGGAGCGTCGGCAAGGTCGGGGAAGAGATGGCAGAGCTGACGGATGGCAGCATTGATCTCAATCAGCTCCTCATGCCTAACCTCCAAGAGGCCAGGCATGGATGCACCCCCGGCAGGAGGAGGCGGATTGAGGGAGATGCGAACAGAGAGGGCGAGAGGCGGAGCGGGACCATGAGAGCGGGTGCGGTGAGCAATAGGGACAGGAGAGGAGGGAGGTGGCGGGGGAGCAGGTGGGACATCGACATAAGAGCGTCCGTGGCGACGGCGACGATAGGTGATGGGCGAGTCGGGAGGAGAGGTGGAGGTTGGAGGCGGAAGCGGAGGTGAAGGCGGGGAGGGAGGCGCGGGGGCAGGGGGAGCCACAGAAGGAGAGGGAGGTGGAGGGGCAGCTGCAGGAGCGGGTGCAGGGGGAAGTGCAGGCGCGGGCGGAGGTGAACGGGCAACTGAGCCAGTGGGCGAAGAGGGGTGAGAGAGAGTGGAAGGAGATGGGGAAGGTGAGAGTGAGGGGGCCGCAGGAGCGGCAGAGGGAGGAGGTGGGGTGGGTGAAGTATCGAAATCGGCCCACACAAGCGAAGGTGGAGCGGTGGGGGGTGGTGAAGAGAGGTAAAAAGGGCGACTCTCATCAAAGGCGACATCGCGGCTACGAATGAGCTGATTGGTGGAGAGATTGAGGAAAAGGTAATCGGGAGAGTCCAGGTTGTGGCCGAGGTAGACACAGGGTTGAGCTTTGGGTGCAAATTTGCCGCCGCGGGTGCGACGTTCCTGAGGGTTGAGGAGGACATAAGCTGTACACCCCCATACGCGGAGAGGACGTGCACTGGGCTTGGTGCCGGTCCACAGTTCAGCGGGAGTGATGGCAGGCCGAAGAGGGTGAGGGTGAAGGTTGTACAGCAGCGTGGCATGAAGGAGGGCGTAACCCCAAAGGGAAGGTGGTGCACCAGCGTGAGTGAGAAGACAGCGAGCGATTTGCACGAGAGTGCGATTGCGACTTTCGGCAATGCCATTCTGCTGCGGACTGTGGGGCAGGGTGAAGGTCTGGCGAATGCCTTGGGAGGCACAGAACGCTTGAAGGGAATGGTTTCGAAATTCGCCACCGCCATCGGAATGGAGGCACTTGACTGAAGTGCGGAAATGATTTTGGGCTTGTCGAAGCCATGCGATGACGACATCTGGAACAGCTGCTTTGGAGGAGAGTAGGTGGACGGAGGCATAGCGAGAGTGATCGTCAACGAGCACTAGGAAGTAAGAGTGCCCGCCACGAGAGCGGACTGGAGCTGGGCCCCAGACGTCCATGTGGACGAGGTCAAGCGGGGCGGCTGCAGCAAAGGGCGAGGAAGGGTGAGGCAACTGGCGTAGTTTGCTTTGCGCGCAGTCCAAGCATGGAGGAGCGGGAGAAGTGGAGGGTGGAGGAAGTGTGTCGGGCAGGTGAAGAAGCAACTTCTTAGACGCAAGCTCGGAGAGCATGCGGAAGTTGGGATGCCGAAGACGATGGTGGTAAAGAATGGTTGGATCGGTGAGCTGACGGCAGGAGCACGATGATGTGGTGGAGGTAGAGTGTGCTTCTGTGGAAGATGGAGGTACTTGGAGTGTGTAGAGGTTGTTGGCGGTCAGTGTGAAGCGTGCAAGTAGGGCATTGGTGGTGGGCTTAAGGAGATCACAGTGATTGGAATGAGCTGGGAAGATAGTGGTTACCCCTGCTTGTTGAATCTCATGTTGTGCAAGTAAGTTGTGCCGAAGAGTGGGCACGCATATGCCAGTGACTGTGCCAGATGGGAAGGCTGGGCATGGAAGAGTGGAGGAACCATGGGCGACAGTTGTGAAGCTGGAGTCAGCGCCCAGAAGAGGAATGGGTGCTTGGTATGGTTTGAAAGACTCTTTGTCTCGGAGGACTGTGTGGGTTGCGCCACTGTCCAGGACGAATTCAAGCGGTTTAGATGGTGTTTGTGGAGACGTCGAGTACTGGGAACTGGTTTCATTGATCATGGGAAGGCCAGGGAACAACAGGTTGAGACGAACATCAGGACTAGGGGCATGAACGGCTGAGTCCTGACTATCCTGTGCCTCAACCTGGTTGAGCTGGCGCATGCGAAGCCAGTTGGGCGGCTTGGAGTTGATACCATTCTTGGCGAACCAGTCGTCGTCCTTCTTTTTGAAACAGGTGGCGAGCGGGTGATTGGTGCCGCCGCACACCTGACCCGCACGGGGTCCCATTTTGATGACGTAAGGACAGGGTGGGTAGCGGTTACGAGTGGGTGGCGGATTGGGACGCGATGCTGGAGCCGGGACAGGAGCGCGAAGCGCATTTGCACGAGCCTGCGCAGTGTTGTCTTTTTCAGCAGAGAGAAGTGCGGAAGAGACTTTGGCAAAGGTTAGCTCTTCTGGCGGGAGATGGAGAATCATGGAGCGGGTGACATTGTAACAGGGGGTCAGCCCAACAAGCAGAGCTGCTGCAGGGGCTTGCTCTGGGAAGACAATGCCGAGTTGCTTCAGCTCCTGATGAATCCCTTGAATTTCAGCGACGTAATCTGCCATTCCAGGGCACTCCTCCAGACGCACTTGAAACATGCGGGGGATGAGGATCGCCACCCCCACAGCGGTTTTGTTGAGGAAGCGGTCGTTGAGGTACTCCCTGATGGCGTGCGCGGAGGGGTAGTTATGGTAAGTTTTGACGAGCTCGGAAGGGGTAGTGCCGACGAAGACGCCAATGATAGCGGCGTCGGCTTGCTCCCACACGCTGTAATTCCTCATACTTGGACATGGATTCCTCATGGGTTTTTAACTCTTCCCCTGTGGCTGTGGCCGAGAGCTTCTTGGGAAGGATCGGCATCTTTCCTTTGCCGCGATTGAGGAGGACATCCTTGAGGCAAATCCCCTCAATTTTGCGGCTTAGGAGATGCTTATCAACCCCATAGCTCCACTCCTTGAAGTTCGGGCTCGAGCCATTTGGGTCGAGGCGCAAGGGAGTGATCGGGTTTGAGAGAGACGCGGAAGAATACGCCATGATGCTCCAAGGACCCTTTCTGCGCGCAGCGCGGGCTCCGCGAAAAACAGGGTTTCCCTTTGCGGATTTTCAACACTCGGAGAAGAGGAATAGCCGATAAAGAGGGAAATCTAAACGCCAAAAATCTATGGAAACCCGCGATTTGCTGCTGCAATCCCGCTGCTCCGCGACCCCCCCTTTTCCGCTTCGCCGCTGCCCCCTTTCCGCTTCGCCGCTGCCCCCTTTCCGCTTCGTCGCTGCCCCCTTTCCGCTTCGCCGCTGCCCCCTTTCCGCTTCGCCGCTGCACCCCCTCGCTGTTGCAGGGGCGACGGGCGACAGCCCGATCAGGTGCGACGAGCAGATGCAGGGCGACGGGCTCAGCCCGATAAGGTGCGACGAGCAGATGCGGGGCGACGGGCTCAGCCCGATCAGGTGCGACGAGCAGATGCGGGGCGACGGGCGTCAGCCCGAAAAGAAGCGCCGCGCTGAGTTGAGGCGACTAGAAAAGCTTTGCGTCGTAAGACGCAAATGCTAGGCTCCAACGGAGCGAGAGGATCAAGAGCCGCTTAGGCGGAAACGAGCTCTGATACCATATCAAAAACTGAGAACTTGATTGATTGAAATGAGCAAGAGCATACATCCTTAAGTACCGAGCATCGGAGAGGATGGGAAGGGATAAGGGAGAATCGGAGGGAATCCCAAGGGAATCCTCCCAAATCGTGGGGATTTGGGATGGATTGGGTTGGGATAGGTTGGGGATGAAAACATAGCTACACCCAACCTAACAAATATGAGTATCCCTAAAACCAACAAAGTGTCAACACACAAAATTGTGCCAACCGAATTGCAGCCTATCTCTAACAGATGCGACAATTTGAGAATGGCTACGGCCGTTGCTGAATGGAACCTTGATTGCGTTCTGTAAACCCTGAGAGTTTGAGGGTTTCATATTTCTGAACACTGACAAATCAGGGTAGGCATTTTTAAAAAACAGATCCCTCAGAGTAAATTTTTGTTTTTAATCGACAACTCAGGGGGTTTTTTTTTTTAAACGTCAGCCCTGGTGCTAGCCCCTTTGCGCTCCACTGGCCCTTTGCGCCCCGCTAGCCCTTCGCGCCCCGCCAGCCCCGTTAGCGCCCTGCTCGCCCTTTGTACCCGCTGGCCCCTTACCACCTCGCCCTCGTTCCTGCCATGCCGTGTCGTGCCGCCGTGCCACCGCGACACCATTAAGCCGTGCTGCCGTGCCGCCATGACACCGTTGAGCCGTGACGTCATGGAGACGTGTCGCGGTGCCGCCATGTCATCGTGCCGCCGTGCCGCCATGTCGTTGTGCCGCCGTGTCGTCGTGGCGCCGTGCCGCCGTGTCGCGTGCCGCCGTAGCACCGTGCCGCCGTGCCTCCGCGAAGCCGTGCCGCCGTGTTGCCATGCCGCTGTGCTGCCGTGGCGTCATGCCGCCGTGGAGCCGTGCCGCCGTGCCATCGTGTTGTCGTGCCGCCGTGTCGTCGTGCTGCCGTGCCGTCATGCAGCCGTGGCGTCGTGGCGCCATGGAGCCGTGCTGCTGTACTGCCGTGCCGCCGTGTGGCTGAGGTCGTACGATGGCGGATGCTGTGCTCCACCAGGAAGCGGAGGGGCGCACGATTGACTTCAAAACCTGGCTTGTCGACCTTCGCCGTCACCTGATAGGTCAGCGCCAGGATGGCTACTCCCTGGCTGTTCATGTCGATGGCTTGCTTCCCCGCCCCTCCGCACCTGATGCCCTCCCTATTGACCCCACCACTGCTCAGTGTGAGGCCTTTTCTGCTGCTGCGCTCGCTCGCGCTGTCTGGGAGTCGCGCGATGCCATGGTGCAGCTTGCCGTTAGTCACGCCCTCCCCCTGTCTGAGAGTCCCCGCTTTACCGTTGTCGCGAACACCAAGGAGTTCTTAGATGCCGTAGTTGCGCGCTACTCCACGCCCGCCTCCGCCTCTGCTGGCGCCTGATCCTCCCCATGATGTTTCCTGATCTTGCCACCTTCCCCACTGTTGCTGACCTAGCCACTCACTTCCGTGCACTAGAGGCTAGCTACCACACTTGTCACAGGATCGAATGTCCCGAGGAAAGGTTTGCTCAATGTTCCACTATGAATCAGTACAAGGTGCTTTTATACTTCCAGATTACATCAGGTAACCAGGTTTATCCTATCCAAAGGAAATAGACCCTTCTAGAAATAGAATCACCCTGCGTATAGCCACGCGAGGCTATTGGCTATAAGGGATTACTGCAGGATTACGCTAGATATAGCGCGCCAGTACATCTCGAGCCTGGTCGGTGATATAATTATAATAACAGGATAAACCAAAGGATAATGGAAAAGGAGGAATAGGAAACCAAATGAGATGAGATAAAGACCAAATAAATGAGGATAAAAAGAGGAATGAAATAGAAAGGAAATATGGAAAGGCAAAATTAGTGTAACGGGGTCGTACTCTCACACTTCCCCCCCTCAAAGCTGGGTGGTAGAAGTAACACCCTGCTTGACAAGGTAGTCGCGAAGAGGGCAACGGGCGTTACCCATGTCGAATTCAGAGACGCAGCCTCAGACGTATGATAACCCTTCCAGCAAAGAAGAAGCTCCAGAGTGCCATTTTGACGACGACGGTGTCCAAGCACGTAGTTGTCTCATGTCGTGGATGAGCACGGGCGACGACAGTGGTTGGCATTCGGTGTAGAGCGTGTTTGGTCTTGATAGGGTTTAAGAAGCTGGTATGGAAGGCGGTATGGATCTTCCAAGTGGCTGGTAGGCGGAAGCGGAAGGTGAATGAAGTGACCGTTGCTTCAAAGAGGACAGGCCGGTTGAAGCGAGGTTGCAGTTTGGATGGGAGATGGCCGATATCAAGATTGCGCGTGTCGAGCAGTACTCGGTCTCCCATGGTGATGGTGTCGTCCGTGCGGTGGCGATCGGGTGGCGTCCGTAACAGAGGAAGTATAGTGTCTGTCCAGTAGCGGCGTCAGGAGCATACTTATAGGCAAACTCCAGGACGGGCAGATGCAAGTCGGAGTTGGAGATGTGAATGGTTGGAACAGTGTGCTATAACGTGCAGATGAGTGGCTATGTTGTCCGATCCGTGCATGCTGTTACCCGCATCTGGTCCACGTGTGAAGATCACCAAGTGTTGGTGGTATGGCAGTCGTGTCGTAGTACTGCTTCTGTCGAGCTGGTCCATGCCTTAGTGTTGTCGCGAGTCGTACCCACTCGGCATCGTAGTGCTGC